AAATCAATAAAATCGATAAAAATAATGGAAACTCATGAAAACTAATATTGTCTTCGTAATCAGCATGCTCGATTACCCCCTGTGCTATCCAGCCCCATGGATCAAATTTGACAAAAAATCGATAAAAAGTGTTAAAATCGATATCGATCGATGAGGAAAAGTAGCCTATGACACCCGCCCGGCCCCGAGTGTATTTGTGCCAAGTTTTATCCGGATCGGTAGAGAAATGAAATTTTCTATTCGAAACCATACCTACAAACATACAGACAGACATTCAGCTTTATACATAAGACTAGCGACCCTACGGGTCGTTAGCAAGCGGGTTGGGGCAAACATTAGATAAAAGCTGTTTTAATCCTATAATTTTCCCAAATGAATTTTCAATTTATTAGCATATGTATTGCCGCAACCGCTCAAAGCGAGAGCTTCTGAAATTCCCTCACAATTTTACCGGAAAGTGAATAACATCGTTCTCAAATAGTGTTCTGCTCTGATAAGGGAGGAATACTTGGTCGAAGTGGCGTTTCCACATCAGATATATTTTGAATTTATCTGCAAAGCGCATCTGAGAGGAGTTACGGGAGTTTTTGAAGCAAAAATCTGAACGCGCGGCTAATATAAAATCATCTGGAACCGTACTCTTAAACCTCAAATAGGGTCATGATTATTGCCAGACGCTTCATGCAGTCAATACCTTCAGTCTAATAAATTCAACCCAGTCATTACTCCTCTCAATCGCCGGAAAGACCTCAACATCCGTTTTTACCTTAGCCGTACCCTTGAATTTTTTCCTCAAAAAATTTCCATAACTCCTCTCAGAGAAGCACTTTGCAGATAACGAAAGCACATTTGGAATCAGAGTTCCATGCTTATTTTATGCTCTGCTCTCGTTCCCTGATGCTCTCTGCAGTAAGCATTTCATATGACAACTTTGCTTCGACCAATTCCTTCTTCGGTGAGGGTCACTGTACAGTTCCCTTCCACAATGTCAGTCTTGCACTCACGCTCACATATTGGAGAGAAAAATCGAAATCAAGCACAGCAACCGCTCTCAGAAGCGAGATTTTCGGAGATTTTCACAAAATATGGGCGGGAAGTGGATCATATCGTCCCAAAATAGCGTTTTGCTCTGAGAGTCACTGTACAGTTGCCTTCCACAATGTCAGTCTTGCACTCGCGGTCACAAATTGGAGAGAAGAATTGAATTTAAGCACAGCAACCGCTCTCAGAAGCGAGATTTTCGGAAATTTTCACAAAATATGGGCGGGAAGTGGATCATATCGTCCTAAAATAGCGTTTTGCTCTGAGAGTCACTGTACAGTTGCCTTCCACAATGTCAGTCTTGCACTCGCGGTCACAAATTGGAGAGAAGAATTGAATTTAAGCACAGCAACCGCTCTCAGAATCGAGATTTTCGGAAATTTTCACAAAATATGGGCGGGAAGTGGATCATATCGTCCTAAAATAGCGTTTTGCACTGAGAGTCACTGTACAGTTGCCTTCCACAATGTCAGTCTTGTACTCGCGGTCACGAATTGGAGAGAAGAATTGAATTTAAGCACAGCAACCGCTCTCAGAATCGAGATTTTCGGAAATTTTCACAAAATATGGGCGGGAAGTGGATCATATCGTCCTAAAATAGCGTTTTGCTCTGAGAGTCACTGTACAGTTGCCTTCCACAATGTCAGTCTTGCACTCGCGGTCACAAATTGGAGAGAAGAATTGAATTCAAGCACAGCAACCGCTCTCAGAAGCGAGATTTTCGGAGATTTTCACAAAATATGGGCGGGAAGTGGATCATATCGTCCTAAAATAGCGTTTTGCTCTGAGAGTCACTGTACAGTTGCCTTCCACAATGTCAGTCTTGCACTCGCGGTCACAAATTGGAGAGAAGAATTGAATTCAAGCACAGCAACCGCTCTCAGAAGCGAGATTTTCGGAGATTTTCACAAAATATGGGCGGGAAGTGGATCATATCGTCCTAAAATAGCGTTTTGCTCTGAGAGTCACTGTACAGTTGCCTTCCACAATGTCAGTCTTGCACTCGCGGTCACAAATGAGAGAAGAATTGAATTCAAGCATAGCAACCGCTCTCAGAAGCGAGATTTTCGGAGATTTTTACAAAATATGGGCGGGAAGTGAAAAAATAGTTTCAAAAATAGCTTAGCTGACATAAACGGGAAGAGCATGAAAAACGAAGAGAGCATAATGGATACAGAGATGGGATGTGAGCGGATCAATAAAGGGTTGATACCATACCTAACTTTCGCAACGATCACCATTTGCATATTTCAACACACTTGGCACGCGACTGCGTTTTTCAACATAACTATCGCAGCAACAGAGCGCACCCTGCGTGTCGTTAGCTCTCGTTCGCGCTAGGACTTCCGCGTCCTTTTGTCCTCATCATTATACCGTCGCGTTCTCTCAACGATACGGCACCGTTCTGTCTCTCGTCTATTCAAAACAAACGTTCAAGCCATACAGTGGGCGAACAATTTCAGCCTTCTCGTTTTTTGGGATCGGGTTTATATTATAGGAAATGATTCGCGCTAGGACCTCCGCGTCCTCTTGTCCTCATCATTACACCGTCGCGTTCTCTCAACAATACGGCACTGTTCTGTCGCTGGCGTGTATTCAAAACAAACGTTAAAGCCATACAGTGGGCGGACCATTCCAGCCGTCACGTTTCTTTTCATTGGGTTTATATTATAGGAGAAGATTAGGTTGGTGCAAAAGTTCCGTCTTAATTCAAGCAAAAAGCAATAACTTTTTAAATGTCAAACCTAAACTCATGATCCAGTGTTTTAAGAATACCGCAAGGCTTCCACTTCATAATATATGCTCTAACCTAACATTCCATGAATTAGCCACCGAAAACGAAACTTCCAAAAACAGCTAATTGAATTCGCGATTTTGAGTTTGGTGCTAGAAAATCGCGGAGGGACGCTAGCTCGCCCAAACTCGTATGGAAACTCAAACATTCTACAGGAAAAATCCTCTTGTTGCTGCAGTTTCTTCAGAGAAACACATTTTGATGCTTCAAAAAGCGTCATAGTGCTCTAAACAAGCATAAGGTGGCTAAAACTGTGTTACTACATTTTGGGCAAGCTGGCGTCTCTCCGCTATTTTCTAGCACCAAACTTAAAATCGCAAATTTTGATTAGCTATTTTTGGAAGCTTCGTCCCCGGTGGCCAATTCATAGAATGTTACGCTTGAGCATCTGTTATGAAGCGAAAGCATTGCTATTTTGCTATTCAGTAGGTTTTGTCGTGTACTAATAACTGCAAAAACTTGGTCTTCCAATTAGAATCCCTGTTTAAGAAAGCCGCTTATATTCTCTAGGTGCTCCATTGCTGGATCACTCTTACTATATCTAGCTACGAAAAGATAATTAACAGCAGCGACTTGTAAAGCGAATAGAGTTCCCATGACGTTTTAAAAAGTATCATCTCTTGTACATAAGTAAGGAAATATGATAGTTAGGCAGCAGTGTTAGGTCAATTCAGAAAGCAAACACTGCTTTTGTGGCAGCACTGTGCTGCTCCCTCCTGCATCCTTCAAACAAAACGCATCTCAGAAATCGAGCAAAAAGGATTTGTGATGAAGGAACAGATAACAATTCTTATCCTAGTGTTATGCCTTTTGTAAGAACCCTGCTGAAACTGTCGTACTTCTGAACGTTTTCCTTTGAACCCTCTTAGTACTGATGTTACCGAAAGTCCACACAATTTATGAATGCATAAAGAACAGCTTCTTTCTAGCTGTTGTGGTAATCGCAACACACTTTGCGCAACACACGTTGATGGGCTTATACACTTAGACTTCGGCTATTTTTCTATGATTTCATTCATTCATCTGTTTCGCTTGAAGAAGCAATTCAAGTTAAGGGCATCTCGCTTAATCCGCTTAATCCGAAGGCTGCGAGCATTGTGGCAGTCCATTGAAACTTACTGCATTTGAACATAATGAAAGTGAGCCCAGCTAGATCAACTTATAAAAGTTGTGTTGCTACTCTTTTGAAGTCAATCATGAAAGGATTGTTTTATAAAACGGATTTGTGAAAATTCAAAAATTCAAAAAGTCAAAATTCAATTCAAAACCGTTTGCGTCCAAATTTGCGCAAAATTGACACTGACTAGGTGCACCAAAAACTTTCGTTCACCCTAAAATAAAAAAGTGCTGTATCAGCTACCTTTGTACAAGCGATACCGTAATGCAGTTGCATATGATAATTGAGCCTCAAATTCAATATGTAGCTTATATTGGAGTAAATGAAGTTTCGTAAACTAGGAGAAGGCTTTTGATGATGATGGTCATGCTCAACAACGGTCATTATCAGATGTGGTCTTTACCTCAACAATCGTTTTCTGGCATCATATGTGACCCTGACACGCTACAGAACTCCGTCGGCTACTTTAAATCGGGTAAACTTATGCCAGTAGTGCATTTTGCTTATCAGACAAGCATGTAATCTTCGTATCCCAATAGGTAGAAGTCCGAGATTGATTGTTCATCGAATTTACCAAACTTAAAATGTGCACACGCAGTTCAGGTGAAGAAACGTTTCCTCGACCAGGTGGGACGAGATCGAGAACTGCCTCACATTTGGAAAAGTTCTGTTCAGATATCTGCTTGTTCGTTCCTGCACAATCTAGATAATCTCGAACCTCAAACTGAATGTGGATGAATGGCATTTCGATTGTTCTGTTGTTGCTTGTTTGAGATGATATATCATGAGCTGCCTGCTCCCAGATGCAAGCGAACAGTGCAGTGGGGCATTTGTAATAGTCTCAAAACGGGTTTTCCCATGTAGAGGGGAAGTGAAGCTACTAGCTGGATAAAGGCCAAATTAGGCACATAAGAAAAGTATGTTGTGTGAAATCTGTCAGGCAATCAACAGATACAGAACTTGTTTCAATGACTCAAGACTCATCCTGCCAAGCAGGCTCCCTTTGAAGGCTGAATCACAATAGTATTATTTCTGACATTTACTCACCTCCCTCCGACGCAGACGATGCGGAGATAAGCTAAAAAACTATTTGATAACTAGAATAATCTTAGGATGGGAGGTGAAACTAACCACAGCTGCAATGTAGAGCAACCAAAGCATTTTGATGTTTTTTCGATGCGCTGCTCCTTTTATATGCATGCAGTATCACGAGGATACCGTAGTCCTAGCCTGTCACAATTATGCAGCCACGTCGGTTGCAGCATAAAGCTACCAACTCGATATCTACAGGGTGGTCCACATGAAATGTGACGAACAAAATTCTTCGTAACTTCGCTTAAACTCAATGAAATTGACGTTTTTATTTTCATCTGATAGACAAGAAAATTCTGTATAAGCCCTTATAGATTGCTTCCAAAAAGTCCACCTCCGCCTTTGGAGACAGAATTTACTTTGCTCAGAGAAATTTTCAAAATGCGGTTTTTGGCGGAAATTTCATCCTAGGCTCTCACTAGGTCTCCTTTAGCAAACCTAATGGCCTGGGTTTGGAAGAGCGGATTTTGATACAGATAAGACAAACAGAGAATTCGTGGGTTCAAGAATGTTTGAGTCAGAAAGCCAAACATTGTTTGTTTATATGTGGCAAATATGAAGTTTGAAGCGCTGCGAAAAAACCATTTTTTAATCTATTTTATTCCACGTTTTGAAGATATTCGTCTTCTCCATATTCTTTTGTCCCAGTGTGTTTGTTCTCGACTTCAGTTCTTAGTCAAACATAATCAAACTTGATGGGTTATCGGCAGTCGTCATGACGACGAAAATCGCAATTTTTCGAAATTCTCAAAAAAGCATCAGAAGCAAATTTTGAAGGGCCACCGTATTTTTTGGGGTCAAAGCAAACACTATGGACGCTGTTGCGATTGGCCTTCTAGCTCGCCCATCCTTAATCATACAAATACTCTTGTCCGTGTGCCTGAAAGAGAAAAGTCTGATCTTTAAAATCCATTGCATTTGAATTGCTAAAAGGAGAAACGTTGAGAGGTTGGAACCAAAACCCAGCGCGCGCAAATCGAAGAATTTTTGGTAGAGAATTGAAAGAAACTAAATGATTTTACCAAAACCAGAGACAAGTACTTAAAAAATGACTAAGAAGATCTTATACAGAATTTTTTCTCTATCAGATGAGGACAGAACTTTCTGATTTCATTTGGTCTCTGCAAAGTTATAATATTTTTTTGCTGTGTCACACTTCATGTGAACCACCCTGAGCACACTTGGCAGCATTGATATCATAACTTACGTTACTACTCCAGAATTCCAAAGTGCAAGTCCATTGGCCCGAAGATGCAAAAGTGACAGGAATATTGCCGCTAACTGAATAAGAAAACAACATCAATGTGAAATCGAAAGCAAGAATGTCTGCGTGAGCAAAGAGAGACGAGGAAGGGTTCTGAAATATCTTCCACACACTTTCAGCTTCCATTACTTTTTGGCCGACTCCTCGATTGTTGGAAAGAAGGTGGGTCATTATGGAGAATGTAGCTATGTGAATGCGTATACGCGTTAGAGGACTGCGCGATCAAAATTTCTAAAAAATGTGACCCAAAAATTCAGAGTAATGCGCGAATACTTTGTTCATTCAAAAATGATGTACCATTAGCAGCTTGTACAATACCACTCGTAATTTGTGAAAAAAATTGGCGGCGGTACTTAACTCAAGCGGCGCCGCCGCAGTTAGGCGGCAAGCGCCGCGTCGTGCGACAAAGTTAGGCGGAATAACGGCGGTGGGCGCCTAAGTTTGTCGCGTGACACCTAACTTTAGCAAAAAGACCTTATCTTGATTTAAAATTTATGAATTCTATACTTGAAAGTACCATGCAACCTCGGCAAGGCGCATCTTCCAATATATAGATGTGCCTAGTCGTGAGATATATGTTTTTTTTCTTGGAATTTTAGTGTAAATGGATCATTCAGTATGCTGATTCAGAGGCTACATACACATTCTGTTGAGCACCGCAGAAATACGGCAGGTACAGTTAAAGAGCTCATTCTGCACGGATATGTATAAAACTGGGTTTTTTTCGGCGAAGTATGACGGGTCCCAAAATGCAAGAAGACAAAGCGGAACGGCGGGAAATCGCATGCGAAGCACATACCGTAAAATGCCGCGCGTGCTGTGCAATGTATAATGCCACCCACACGGGAATTTCGCGAAATTCCAGAAATCTCGCGATTCCGGAATGTCGCAAATTACGCAGCGCCATAACTTCCTTCGGAATAAATATATTCCAAATCCGAAAGCAGCATTGTGTTCAGCTCACCAAGGCGAATCTTTCGGTTGCAGAATGTCCTTGATATCTCGATCTCAGTATTCTTGAAACTTTCTGCGGACGTCCCTTCGCAAAGGCGTAAAGCAGCGCGTAGTACCCCCAGTAGATTCAAAAAGGAGCTTTCGATAGTACTTCTTCTGTAGATTATGGGGCGCTAAGAATTAGCTGCACACTTCTTTCGAAAGGAGATAGAAGGGCTGGTGAATTCTGGAAAAATCATGTCGTTCTAAATTTTTCTCACTGTAACTCTGAAATATGAAGCTCTTTTGCTAAGCAGATGTGATTTTCTTGATCAGCAGGTCAACCCTTTTGAGCAAGTTTTCCGAGATGTTTGGGTAAATTCATTTTTTCTCGTTTTACGCTCTGAAGCTGGCCGGTGGATTTTGGTCAAAATGTTGAAGATCTTGAAATGTAAGGAAACTTCGCTTATAAAGGTTTTCGGACACGCTCTTTACAAAAATCGTGGTCTTAGAGTATATGGCCTTTCTGCATAGATATGGTGAGGTAACCATAACGGAGTCACGAAAGTGCGTAAATTTGCCCGCACTTCTCGCGTACCTGTCAGGGAACTTGCTCGCTTGCTTCTAGAGGTTGAATTTGCTGGGAAATGTGCCATCAATGGTGCATGGCTTAGGCTCCAGTCTACAAAAATCGCCGAGTTACGAGCCTACGGAAACACGTCCTCATGAATTTTGCCCAAAATGTAAAGATCGCATATTTAGTCGAAATTCCACCGTGGGTGCTTGTATGACACTCGCATTGCGGATATTATGTTCGTTTCGCCCAATGACTCCACTGTACTGAATATGGTGCTTGCGTGTGCTTGCTGCTCAATTGAATATCAAAGCTATTTCGTGGCTAGAGCCTAAACTACCAAATCTAACACATTAAGATCCATTAAGGATGCGAAAAGATCTGATCAACGTTTTGTATGAGCGTGTCCGAAAACCTTTATAAGCGAAGTTTCCTTACATTTCAAGATCTTCAACATTTTGACCAAAATCCACCGGTCAGCTTCAGAGCGTAAAACGAGAAAAAATGAAATTACCCAAACATCTCGGAAAACTTGCTCAAAAGGGTTGACCTGCTGATTAAGAAAATCACATCTGCTTAGCAAAAGAGCTTCATATTTCAGAGTTACAGTGAGAAAAATTTAGAACGACATGATTTTTCCAGAATTCACGAGCCCTTCTATCTCCTTTCGAAAGAAGTGTGCAGCTAATTCTTAGCGCCCCGTAATCTACAGAAGAAGTACTATCGAAAGCTCCTTTTTGAATCTACTGGGGGTACTACGCGCTGCTTTACGCCTTTGCGAAGAGACGTCCGCAGAAAGTTTCAAGAATACTGAGATCGAGATATCAAGGACATTCTGCAACCGAAAGATTCGCCTTGGTGAGCTGAACACAATGCTTTTTTCGGGTTCAGAAAATATCCACGCCGTGACCAAAGAAAGTTACGGCGAGTTGAATCTGAAAACGAGTGATTTTTCCAGAATTTACCAACGCTTTTTTCTCTTTTGAAAAGAAGTCTGCGGCTGCTTTTTAGCACACTATAATGTACAAGAAAAGCACTATCGAGTGGTACTTAGTATAATCTTTTAAGTTGGATAGGCGCTGCGTTACATCCTTGCGAAGGGACCTCCGCAGAAAAATTTGAGAAAACTGGAAACGAGATATAGAGGACATGATGTATGTCGAAAGATTCGCCTTGAAGAGCTGAACACAATGCTGCCTTCGGATTTGAAATATATTCATTCCGAAGGAAGTTATGGCGCTGCGTAATTTGCGACATTCCGGAATCGCGAGATTTCTGGAATTTCGCGAAATTCCCGTGTGGGTGGCATTATACATTGCACAGCACGCGCGGCATTTTACGGTATGTGCTTCGCATGCGATTTCCCGCCGTTCCGCTTTGTCTTCTTGCATTTTGGGACCCGTCATACTTCGCCGAAAAAAACTCAGTTTTATACATATCCGTGCAGAATGAGCTCTTTAACTGTACCTGCCGTATTTCTGCGGTGCTCAACAGAATGTGTATGTAGCCTCTGAATCAGCACACTGAATGATCCATTTACACTAAAATTCCAAGAAAAAAAAAAACATATCTCACGACTAGGCATATCTATATACTGGAAGATGCGCCTCGCCGAGCTGAGTTGAATGGTACTCTCAAATATAGAATTCATAAATTTTGAATCAAAATAAGGTCTTTTTTTCAAAAAGTTAGGTGTCACGCGACAAAGTTAGCGCCCGCCGCCGTTATTCCGCCTAACTGCGGCGGCGCCGCGTGAGTTAAGTGCCGCCGCCAATTTTTTCACAAATTATGAGTGGTGTTGTATATGGAGACACGTACAAAAGTAGTTTGAAAAAGCTAGCTCAGCGGGTGATGAGCACCCTCGTATTGAAGGGACAGTGTGTAGCACAAGTAAACCAATCGAGGATCTGTTTTTGCAACCAAACACGTCAACTTACGGTAAATATCTTTGTGCCAAAGATGGCGACCTTCGAAGACTTGGATTTAATATACTATTCGTCGTTCCAAAAGTATTTTAGCTTTCTTTTAAACGGCTCCCAAGACTTGCTTCATTCCCTTTCACATGGTTGTGTTCCCAATTTAGTAAACTTGCTCCCAAGAAATCACCAAAATACGAAACCCGCGCTTTTTGCCATGGTCAAGTTTGGCTAATTTTTTAGATTTTTACACTACATTCCTGAAGAAGACCGAGTAACGGATGGATAAAGCAAATCTTACAGAATGCAAAGCGATTTTTTTCTTATTTCGATGCTCATTATAAATCTACAATAAGATTTTCAACTAAATGTGGAACATTGA